TATCTGATGTAAAATGCACTTACATTTACCCTCCCCTTTCTTATGAACATAAAGGATAAGTGTATTGATGGAGATAAACTTTTAAAGATATTTAAGACAATTGCACAAAATACAAGAAGTAAATTGTTAATGAGTACAGATCAAATATATCCAACTAAATATAGAACCTTTATGCACAATTCAATTATAAATGTTAAGAAAATGGACTGTTATCGAATATCTTTGATGAAATTAATGTGCCCCATTAATGGTTGCTGGTTTGTCGTGATTTTGCAAGGATATCTGGAATCTAATCAGGAATTTCCTCTGTCAGAAAAAGAAAATGGCGTGCTAACTGATGAAGTGTCATGCCTGTTAATTAGAAACGCGCTAATAGAAACTTACTTTACATTCAATGGGCAAAACCATTCACTGTTCCACAGTTAAAGTACATGAAAAGTAGAAATTCACTAATTCTGTACTGACAAAGCTACTCTTATCCAGAATCTAGGTTTAAGGGTTTGTGCTGGTGTTCTGTATATTTGGCGTGCCACAGTCTCTAAATTTTAACCTATTCCTTAAATAGGTTAGTTGTGAATATTTTGATCCAGAGGTTAAAACTTTACGAATTTTCATTTGTTATTAGTATTCAAATATCTCTTAAAGGTTATTGGAGGTTGAACATTTATTGCAGTTGCAAATTACCATTGGTCACCATGCACAGATAATCACAGAAGTGTACATAGAAGTTACATGAAATCATCAGTCTTGTTTTAAGGGAAATTAATTTACACTTTCTTATCAGATACCACTGGAGTCGGTACCAGAGGAGCCGGATGAAGAATACGAAGTCGAACCAAGCTTGACTCGGGAAGTGTCAACACCAAATGTTCGGATACCATCCCAGTCAGCACGTGCAACCCTCGTCCGGACACCTGCGACGCGGGAAAGGACCACATCGCCTTTAGTGTTTAACGAGGAAGAAGAGTTTAAAAAGGATGAAGATGACAATATTTTAATCACCGAGATTAAACCGACGGATTATCAGGAGGTGGAGTTTGAGGTGGAAGTGGAGCAGGAAGAAGATTCGTTGTCTCAGGGAAGCGAGGAACTGAAACATGTAGCAGTGGAGCCGATAGAGGCCGAACCCAAAGAGGAGGATTATGATACCGATCTCGAAATCGAAGGTGAGTTGAGTATCCTGGCACGGCACCAAAAATAGCAATTTCTTTTGATACATGTAATTCAGTGAATCAAAAATACACTGATTTTTCTTTTATGTAACTTTTGTTTTCGCAAAAAATACTTTGATGGTATGAGAATTATTTCGTTTCAGAAGAAACATTTGTACATGATACAACTGGTCGATCTCACTACACAAAAATATGCCACCAGCTTGGTTTAGTACCCATTTCATACTTCATGCGGCATATCCAGGACACGGAACTAGCCATGAGGTACCATGGACTGGGGCCCAGCTCAGCAAGAGCAATTGCACTTGTGTTAAAGGTACACTCATTAACAGACATTTGATTTATTTTGTTTGTCACATTCAGCTTAAATTCATTCGATAAATCTGTTTAACTATAACGCTGAATATGTCTTTATACTTTGATAATATGGTTTATTCTTGTACTTTCTAGGATACCATTACATTAGAAAAACTAGACTTACGTGGGAATTGGATAGAGGGAGAAGGTGGTGAAGCGGTGGCGCGCATGCTCGAAGAAAACGATTACGTCACAGATGTGGTAAATTTTACTCACTTGTAAATAGCGCTTGAATATTAATCTTGCTAAAGTTTTCCTTCTTTAAAATTATAGCGTAACTTCGTTTTTACAGTGCCTTGCAGACAACAAACTTGGACTAACTGGTGCTCAAAGTTTATGTAGAATGCTCAGTACTAACGCAGGTCTTCGCAAATTGGATATTTCAGGTGAGTTTTGCAAATTATTTTCTATTTGACATCAACGTTCATATGTAAAAAAAAAAAAAAAAAAAAAAAAAAAAAAAAAAAGTTTAGCTAATAATCCGTGTTCCTCCTAACAACGATGTCAGAAGAGTTTCTGAGATATTGTTATATGTTGACAATAAATTACAATATTAAATGTTGGTGGCGCATGTTGATCAAAATGTCTACATGTCGCACAGGTGTGTCGTGTCTTTACAGTTGCATATATTTGACCCTGTAATCTGTCTTACTTCTGCAGACAATGGATTCGGCACAGTGGAGGCAGCAGTGATAGCGCAGGCCCTCGAGGTACCGATGTTTTTATTAACCTTCATGGGACGAAAAATCAAATCTCTTACCAAACAATAAGCAAAAAATACCTTTCTGTCGTTCAAGTGTCTATTAAATCCCAAGATTTACAAGCCCACCGTGTTTTTTCAAAGCGCAATTTATCATTTTGTTACTCTGGACACTGTTTGCAGCAGGTGTAGAAAAGCCTTTGCTTGCACTTTGGGCTTCACCTTTCCATTAACGATCTCATTTAACATGTACTTCTCGCATTTAATTGATCAATATTGTGTTTCTGACATGTCACACAGACTACTAGAACTGTCGGCCTGGTTCTAAGAATTATGCTGTCATTTTCTTCATTGTAGACAAACAAATATCTTAAAGTGCTGAACCTGAGTCATAACCGTTTTGATGAACAAGCTGGGGAAATTTTGGGTCCCGCCATAGGTACGATAGATTGTTCAAATTTCAGACAGTAGTAATGTTAATTTTCACATCTCTAAATTAAAAAGAAAAAGTTTCTTATCAAGTCAATGCAGTGACATGGCCATCAATAAAACGTGCTTATCTGGAAAGAATAGTCAAATAGGCAAAAACATGCCAAAGTTGTTGCATAACCAAAGAATAATTTTTAACCATAAAGACATTTGTATTTACATCACAATTAATATCAATAGGTGCCAATGACATCTTGGATGTTTTGGATCTAAGTTGGAATTGTTTACGGCAAAAGGGGGCCGTCTCCGTAGCTAAGGGAATCAAGGTATACCGGTATTTCATTTAAGACCACCTTCTCACATATGCAAAGTGCATAATGCTAACACATACCTTCGTATTTCTGAAGTTTCCGACTTAAAAGTTGTAAACATACTTTTTGTACAGGAAAACGTAAGGTTAAAGAAATGTAGTCTTGCATGGAACGGTTTTGGTCCAGAGGGTGGGGTGGCGATTGCTGATGCTCTTATGACCAACAACTCCCTCCAAGAGATTGATATCAGTGGTAACAGACTAAGTGCCGATGTTGCCATAAAAGTGGCTAAAGCCATAATGAGTAATGACAATATCAGAATACTCAAGGTATGGGTTTAATTATTTATAACATACTGGAAGCAAATTTATTTAAACAAAGGGGCTTATATCTATCCGTATCCCATTGCAATTACAGATGGGTAACAACCTTCTTACAACTGCGGGTGCAATAGCGTTAGCGAAAGCTATAAATGAAAGTGAAAGCAGTGAAATGGAAGAGTTGGACTTAACTGTAGGTGATATTGTGCTTAAATAAATATCAATATTTTCTTAAAGATTTTAAGCTTGCTTAACCTACAACTGTTATTAGTTGCTTATGGGCTCCTTTTGTTTTATAATCATCCATTGTTATTTATGTTGACCACCCATCCACTTTTTCTTCCATACGTAATATTTTTATTGCTAAATTTTCCTACTGCAGGATGTCCCTGTTGAATTTGAATTCCTGCGCATCATTGAAGACATCAAAGCCAAAAGACCCAATTTTAAAGTTGCTCATGGTCCTATATTGAGAGTAGGGAATACGACAGAAGACCTAGGCAAGCCCGCCATTGATCCAAATCCACGCCGGAATAAAGACCCCATAGTGGTGTTAGACCAGCACATAGTCGTCAACGACTTCCGTCTTTTAGATATTCTTAAACGCTATGACCCTGACAACTCCATGACACTTGAACCTCAGCAATTTCTCGCCGCTTGTGAGGTAGGTATATTTTTCAAAGATATACATGTATGAAGACCGTAATTGTACTGGAAAAATAAAATTGTATACATTTGTGCTGTATTTTTATATTTGCTAATCTTAAAGTAAAATATAACCGTAAAATCAGAATTGAATGCGCCTTAAAAAAATTAGATATTTAGATTATAATAGAAAAAATACGTATATCAAAGAAATGTGAACGCAGGTTCCGTTCTAAAATTTCAGAATTAACCATTAAAAAAGCAAAATTAAGGCTATAATCAGAGATACTGGGAAAGAGTGATTGATAAAACCTTATTTCATTTCAGGAACTAGCTATACCTTATGATAGGGCAAAGGTAGAGGAAGCTGTCAAACGTCTTGTTGATCAGAAACCAGGAAACGAGAATGGCAGAATCTACTTTGGGTAAGCTCTTTACCACATTCAAATGTTAAAAAATTTTCGTCATCAGTTTATTTTCAAACTGATTGATTATCTTCATTATTACAAATTTTGCATACTCATTTTTCTTTCCAACAGGAATTTCTTTGATCAAGAAAAACTTCAGGAACACATCAAGAAATACCAAGAGAAGACTGATAATGAAACATGAATGTTTCCACTGCAACTTTTTTTTCTAAGTCTGTCCGGTATACATGTACTTAGTATATGGAAAACCAGATCAATGTTAAATCTAAAAATAAAAACTGAACGTCACAACATTTCACTTGATGCATGCCTGGGAATACATAATGCATTATATGACATTCATTACAACCCTATTGTGCTATTCAGCATGTGCCAACTTAAATAAACCAAGTGCCTACTTTTAAAGTTAAGAAAGCATGCCATGTGCCTTCTTTTACAAGATGGGTGGGTTCTGTCCTTTAACCTCAAGCATTGTGATATTCCTCACCTTTTAGCAGAATGTTTCCATAGACAACAGAGATATTTATTCCTACACATTAGCTAAAAAGTATTACTTTTGTTTACAGTTATAACTGTCTTTAACTTATGTGTATATTTATATACTGAAAATGCTTTAACTAAATAAAAGACAGAGTATCTTTACAGTTTTATGTATTTATTTCATAATTTTTTTAAAAAATCAACAAGTGTGAGAAATTTTATGTTTAAACCTCTCTAATGATAATAAAGCTGATGAAAAAAAAATATAAATACATTGTATTACCTTTTTGGCTATAATTGGAATGGAAAATACAAAAACAATGTTTAATTCATGCAATTAAATGAGCTGTAGCTACATTCTACATGCAAATCTTATACAAGAGGCCCACATCCAACAACCCTCACCTGAGTTATCATAAAAGTGAAAGTTATGAAGATATGGAAACAAAATTGATGAAGGACTTTAAAATATCAAAGAGTCCACTTGTCAACTTTCCTATTCTTATTAAAGAGCAATAGACAGGTAATCATTCCAATTACCTAAAATAGGGAAATTGACACATTTTACAACCCTTCAATATGTAACAGGAAAGGAGAAAAATGCAAGGGACAAGACCAGGGCACGTCACAACACCAAATATGGCAGGAAAGGAAAAAAATAAGATGGACCAGACCAGAATTCGAACCCATCCTCTCTCCCCCCCCCCCCCCCCCCCAACACTGAATTACTAGTCAACTGCGCTGTCTGGCCACAGGTGATTGAATCTGTCTGACTGCCACAAATATAACAACCAATGCTTACAGAAAACCCCTTGACTTAAACCTAACACTTTCAACAATTTTCAACTGATTTGTTAAAAAATAGCTCCTTTATCTTCCTGTGTAAAATTCTGATCATCCTATTGTGGCCCAATCCTTTCTGGGAGCGAGAGTAGAAGAAAAATGGAATTCTTCAAAGCATGGGAATGCTTACATGTTAATATGGCACAATAATGCCCAGTCATTCTTGAGATATGCTCCTGTGAATATTCTTACTTAAACTTTGAACCCCGACTGTGGTCCCATCTTAGTCCAAGGGGCATGATGAGACTAAAAAATTGAATTTACACAAGGATGCTTCCATATTTGAACAATTGTAATCAACTCTTCAAAAGGATAATTTAGCTGTTTTTGTTTGAATGTGCCATGAGGTTTTCAGAAATCAAAATTGTGAAGAGTTGACAGATAATGGACAAATGACAGACAAATTTAAATGAGAAAAGTTCATTAAAGTTCACCAATAATTGAAACTAATAAAAGATTCATCTAGCATTAACTGTCAAAACAGTTTTGCTACTAGCAAAGATTCTTGATCAAGAAGGACAAGAGGCTATTGATATTGTGACCAGAAAAGATATTATGATGTACAATAACCAAACAGCTGTTTTTCAGGATTAATCATTGAATCATGATTTTAATTTCATGTGAATTCAAAGCCTGTCCCAAAAAAAGTTTCATGAAAATGTATTAATTGTAAAGGTTATTGAAAGAGCATTTGTATTTTCAGAAGATGCATATATGTGAAACATATTATTCAACAGAGCTATAATCAAGGTGTGTATAGCATCATTAATGTCTTCATTTGGATTTTTGTCCTTGACCCTTGAACCTCACATTTTCCATTTGTCCTTGACCTGTAAATCTCATATTTTGGATTTCCGTGCATGGCCTGCAGAAGGAACATTTCTTTCATCCCAAATTGTCACTCCATCACATGAACAGATTTTTTTCTCGGAATTCTGGAAGAGTCCAGCTGACCTTGCAATTATGCCACAGGAAAGTCTGAAATGGAGATTTTCTGAATTATTAAGGTTATTTGATGATTACCACTCATTTTGGTTTTTCCCAATTTGTTTTCTCCCTAATACTGGTATATAAATGTGTGTCACAGGGTGACTGTGAGCATCAGTCAATACATTGGATCTCAATAGCTCAGAGGTTAGAGCGCTGGCACAATACGCCAGACACCCTGGATTGAGTCCCTGTTGAGACTTGATTTTTCACCACCTGTGATATATATATATGAACAATTCAATAGGGAATAACCATTAGTAAATCTGATAATAAAATAATTAATATTCTCAATCACCCATGAGGAATATAGACATGTTATCCAGGGGTAACAACACTTAATCTAATGTCTCAATTAATCGTAATACAGTTTCCCTTACTTTTTCTGGATCTGTGAATTTAAACTTTCTGGCTTCTCTTGATGAACAACTAGAGATCTTCCAATGACCTCCCAGACTTTTAATCTATTACTGGTCAATCTGAAATCTGCTCGGCCATTGGCTGCTGCTTCAATTTCTCCTAAGTCACCTACAGGCTGAGAATACAAAAATAAGTCTGGTAAAAAAATGAAGTAGTATGATAGAATTATGAATTTCTCTCTTAAATACAGGATTTACCAATTTTTTACATCAATGACAGATGTTGCAGATAAATTTTAAACACGCATTTCCTGCTACCTGAGTAGCAAGCTCAAAACATCTGTGTACTGCCAAATTTGCCTATATTTTCAAAATGAATATTAATTTTCCAGTAAAAAACATAAAGAAGAATCAGACAAAGGTCTGGAATTTGCTAATTTCTGCCTCATTTTTAATGAATTTTCTCCAAAGAATATATTGATTCAGAAAACTTGTAAGGTATCCAACAATTTAAAATTTTCAAATAATTAAATATGTCTTGTGTATGAAAATTTCAGATAGATTAACCTCTACTCTCTATTTTCCACTGTTTTTCAAAATAAGAAGTATTTAAAGTTTGATGACAATTCTTAAAAATTTACCTTTTCTGTCTGAGGACTGAGTCTTCCAAGAATTTCTCCACAACTGAAAGAAGTAATTCACATTCTCAAGTATATATTCTTTTTTACACAATGATTGATTTCTCTGTTCAAGGGAGGCAATTCCCCCCCAAAAAATTTCAAATCTTTTGTGCAAACATTTAGAAAATGAAAAACTAATTTAATTCACAAATCAAAAGAATTATTTACTACAATTGTTCAGGATCTGCAAGTATAGAACTAAATTAACATGCATGAATTAACTGAATGCAAGTTTTAGTCTTACTTCACACTCTGAAGAGGTGAAAGCTGGGTGCACGAAGTCATAATAATAATCTACATGTATATAACTAAATTTACCATGATGTATGCATACACAAACCTGTCACATCCTTGGGAAATGTCCCCCAGTTCATGTATAAAAAGTCGGTGTTTCCCTTCCGGTAGACCATCAATAGTGCCATCTATGATGCATCTGGATGAATTTGACTGGACCATTCGTATGACTCCCTGGATTTTGTCATCACCAGTATTTAACTGAACCACACCAGACTCAACAGGGGTCTCTAATTAGAAAAAAAAAGATGACAACTTTTTTTCAATACTGTAAGTCTTGATACTTATGTATCTTTGATAAAGAATAGAACTTAGATATGGTGATTTATTGTAAAAAAAAAATATATATGAACAGAGGCCCAACTCACTATTCAAGGATCCATACCCCTGAAGAACTGCCTTTTTCCCAGTCTTTTCTATCAATGCTTGGATCTGATTAGAGGTCAAAGTGCTTTCAACAATTACCTGGTCTGTTGCCAAGTTCACCTGAACTGACTTTACACCTGGAAGAAAAGATGAACTTAAAAAATACTATGTCCCTAAAGACTGCATTCTAATTTGACCTTCTCCCCCTATTGCATTCAAAATTTAATCTTAAATGGACATTCAGATGGATGGCCAATTGCAATATCTTCCTCAAGTTAATAACCCAGTGGTATAACTGTATGAGAACTTTGTAGTAATTAAACACCAATTCAATATCCAATGCATACTTGATATTAATTTGTTAAATACCATTTACTTCAAGAAGTGAATTCTTCACTGATTTCACACAACCCTCACATGTCATATTCACAGCAAACTCCATCTGTAGAATAAAAAACTGCAATTACACGTAGAAAAATTGTCTTTTCCATGCTGTTGTTCTTAAAACTACCAAAGGAAGTAAAACAGTACTGATTGATGCTGATGCCATGTTTAAGAAAATCTTTATCAATTTTTATACCTACACATCATTATTAATTTGGCAGTTATTTTACGGTAAATGCAACTTCATTTGTTATGTCAAAAATTATGCTTAGGCTGATCCAGTCCATTTTGCCACATTGCGAGTATATAGGACCTATTATAACTGTGGAGAGGGTCTGTCCCAAGACACAGATTATCCTCCACCTACAGATGATCATGTATTTTCCTCATCAGTGTTGCGATCTGCCATGAGTATCTGATGATATGGCTTTGTATTCTTATACACTTTGAAGAAGTGTAAATGGATATAGGGCCTCTATAGAATAATTATGTTACTGGCGTTGACTCTGATCTGTGACATTTATTCTTTAGTCGATTAAATTTCCAGTAATATATTTATTTAAAAAATTCTAACCAAAATCTACTCCTTTGAAAATTTTAATCCTTTATGTATAAAGTTATGTACAATGCCCTTTGGTGTAACATTCTAGATACTGACCCACACAGCAAATCAGAGACATATGAGCAAATATTAAGTGCAGTTGAACCAAAAAATATCAATAAAACATTCAGATTTGCAAGACTTTATAAAGTTATCAGATCAAAAAAGCATCAGAGCATATAAAAGAAATAAAACAGCATAATGTCACTGCCTCTTTCTATAATATAACAACCAAAAAATTATACCACTGCGCTGTCTTCGCTAGAGGCTGCCATGTTCATTTAGGAAATCAAAGAATCGTTCCAAGAATGCTTCGCCTATTACAAACAATTGGAAGTAAACGGCTGTCCAAGTTTAAAAAGAATATCCTAGCACATATATATTTCAATATAAAGATTTTCTGTGCTTAGTAAAACATAGACTAGATGATTTTCGTTCTTTATCCGGAATAAAAACACGTAAAGGTTGACTTTTCTCTAAACCGGAAGTTTTTGTCACGTGATTGTACCCGCCTGTAGGTTTGAAACGTTGTGGAAAATGTTTCAACTTTTACATTTCAATGAAGTTTAATGGTATGTTTATATCATATGTAAAATGTATAGTTGTTGATACGTGTTTATATGCACCGAACTATCAAGATGAAGGGACGTGAAAAGTATTTTTAGGTTGCCGATTTTATGCTGCATCTGAGCATCAAAAGCATTCATACCAGGTGCCATGATGCATGACTTGTATTAAAAATAATATAAAACGTGTCATCAAACGTTTTTATCAGTTTATATTTATTTTGATGTGTACTGAAAAAATTGAGTTAGTTGAATTGTTTGAACTGCTTTCACAGTGCACAGGCACCTGCATTTTCATCACGTAACAGAAGCCCATCCCCCATCTAGCATCTGTACATATAAACACACAAGGTGTGCTATGCCATTTTTCCCCCTGCCACGATTTGGGCATCAATTAATTAGAAAAATTAATATGCCTACCGGTTTGCATGTAGCTATGGGTTATAACGCATTATGCATTGCAACAGTTGATCAAAACTTTAATTGAACAATGTTTATTTGTTATTTACTTTAGGGTGCAAGTCTATATCTGCAATATAGATTCCAGGATTATTGTGTGCACAAAACTAAATGTTGTATGATGTCATAGCTTTTAATAGAAATGCTTATCTTAGGAATCATCCATGTTTACGTGTGTTTTTCATTCCAAAGACTATAGAGTCAAGAAAAATCAAGAATGAAGATATTGTCTGATTTGTCCAATGACACCAGTAAACACCAAAACCATCTTGAGAAAAAAACCCCAACTTTTGAGAGCACAATAGGCCAAGGTTTTGTAAGGAGTGTAGCGGATCAAATTCATCTTTCATGTGGACATTAAGCTTGAATTCATTATATTTACATTTCCAATGTCTTTGTCCGAGATAAAATTACAAATTGTAAAAATACTTTATTTCTACATAAATCTACTGATTCATCAATAGGCGCGGTTAAAAAAAATCACGTGTGGGGCGGGACAAATAGAGACAGAAGCGGGGCTATTAGCACGGGAATTTGCAGAATCAGGAGCATGTAAATATAAGGAATAACTGTCAGATTTTTTGGATTCATGACGATCAATCGATTGGCTTGCGTGATAATTTTATGCATAAACGCCTTCGGCGTTTATGCAAATTATCACGCAAGCCACTCGATTGATCACATCATGAATCCAAAAAATTAGACAGTTATTCCTTAATTAAAGCGTGTTAGCTCTAATCATATATCTGTATATGACTCAAAAATGAAATTGTAAAAATTCAGTGGTGATGAAAGCACCAGGATCGAGGATGTCGTGATATGTTTTTATGAAACTGTTTCTGAATGATACAATTTCAGGTAGAATGTCTGGCAGATAATGGTCAGAGATGGCAAAAGGTCAGAAGAAAGAAGATGGAGATGAGATCCGCAAAGCACTTGGTAAATCATATTTCATTAAATATGAGAAATTACATAGCTTTTATGAATCTTTACTGTAATTATTCTACTGTAATGCATTATCTAAATTATTCATTTGTTTCTGTATTTATTCCTTAGCAATTATCAGACACAACTTTCATATATATCACTTTCAGTTTGTCTATGACAGTAGATATTTTTTTTCTTAAATAGGGCTTAACAAGAATCAGTGCCTGTTTTGCCTGAAGTCTGAGGATAATGAAGAGAAGTTTGGCAAATACATAAAGAAATTTGGACTGACACTCCACTATTTTTGTATGGTAAGCCTCTCTTCATCCATACCAAATCCAGTGCAAAATCATTTTGTTGTCCAAAGGCAACTTTTTGATTTTGTTTTTTATTTATTTTGAAACAATGTATTCATACCAAATAAACTGGCTCTGAGAAGTTACTTTGTCCATGTCTCCATTCTCCATTAAGATGTTAATCTTGAATTTTTGGCAGCTCTTTGCAAGTGGATTGAGTCAGCGAGGAGAGAATGATGAGGATGGTATATCCGGTTTTCTACCAGCTGATGTACTAAAGGAACTAAAAAGGGGACTAAGGCTGGTGAGTAGAGCTGACAGTGATGAAACTTTTCATATCGATATAATATATATGAAGCACATACATGTATATTCATAATTATATTGGTTGCAAAAAGTATCCATATATCAATAAACTGTAACATTTTTACAAATTCTTTCAAAATAAGGATGCAACATTAATCATGCTAATAGTCATATGGTTTTAGTTATGGTATTAGTTATGGTATTCTGTTTTTATTGTTTTCACTTGAAATTACTGAAAATGAGCAGATAAAAATTGTACAAGAAATGGTGTTTATTTGAACATGTTAAACAACTTCAACCTTAAACTAACAGATGTAACAAGATGAAAGAAAAAATTTAAAAAGAGGATTGTGGATTCACTGGACTCTCATATGGAAGTTTTTATTTTTCAGAGATGCACGTTTTGTAAATCCAAAGGTGCAACTATTGGCTGTGTGGTTGGAAAGTGTCGGACAGTGTTTCACTACAGTTGTGGGATAGAAAGCAAAACACTGCACCAGTTTTTTGACACATTTAGGTATGTGCCATGAATTACATGCAAATCTTCATTGAGTCTGTAGTGAAGCATATTATATCCAGTCAAAGGTAATAAACAAAAGAAAAAAAATGTCAGCTTAAACAAGCATTGTGAGAGTTTGCTGAAGCAGTACAATATTTATGCCACCAACCAGCTCAACCTCTGCCCCTTTTCTTCATCTTTACTATGCTATAACTCAAAGGGACTAATTTTTTTGAGGATATGCAATGTACTACCATTAGTATATAGTTTTGATGTAAATTATTGACTAATAGTAATGTGTCCTATTGTTTGTTTGGTTGGTTGTTTTTTTTTTTTTTTTTTTTTTTTTTTTTTTTTTTTTTTTTTTTTTTTTTGATTAAATTCTGTGATACATACCTCCAGAATTTACAGAATTCTGAGAAACAACATTTAACTCTCAAATATATACAACATATATCATATGATTCATATTTTACAGTAACTTGTGTATTTTTCAATGAAGAAAATACTTTTATCTTTCAATGGAGAAAAAAATGCTATAATTTTCAATAGAGAAAAATACTTTTCATAGGAAAGTTTTTCCTTAGTTAAAGCAGAGACATAGATAAGCAGGCTGCTACTTTCAAAAAGTTAAGAGGTGGTACTTTTAAAAAATTTGGAGGTACCTTGTGGAAGTGATTTTGATTAAATATGTTATGATTGTTAACATTTTTTTCCAACTGATATTTTGGTTGGTACAGTAATGATTTCAGCAGGATAAACGTACGACAGATTTTGAAAGGCCTTCACATTCAAATATATCCAAAAAAAGAATGGTTTAGAGATAAATTTCTTTTTTTAATGCAATTTCCTTCATAAATACCTTGAACAAAAGTGATTTCTCAACATCCTGTTCATTCTTTGGATGTGCACTACATGGGGTAATATTTGAAAACTATATCTGAATGGGGTCACACAATTCATGTATCCACTTTATTAAATTAGAACTTTAAATTTACAGTTCATTTTGCTCTGAACATCGGCCACTACAGACAGCATGCCCCGAGGAACAAGCCGAGGTATCCACTTGTGCTATATGTATGACCACTGTTATCAATAGACCTCAGAATGACACACTCAAATCACCATGCTGTAGAGGATCATGGTTCCACAGAACATGCATACAGGTACATTTTTGATTTGTGGTTGGAAAAGGACAAGTAGTGAAATATGCAAACCTAGTTTAATCATATTCTTTTTGTTTTATTACGGTTTTTTTAGTGTACTTAATTTGTTATATCAATACTAAATTTAGTATTGTTTTCAGTAGATTTGATTAACTTTATGAAGAAAACATAGTAATGCAAGAAACTTAACCCCTGCCCCCCCCCCCCCCCCCCCAAAAAAAAAAAAAAATAGGTGATAGACTGAGTTCACATGGAACAAAATCAGAATTTCTAAATGGCAATTATCATTATCATGAAAGAGATTGAATCAATACATACATATTTGTATTTTAGAAACATGCCACAACAGCTGGGTTGTATTTCTTTAAATGTCCACTCTGTAACAACAAGGATCATTTCCAGGAGGAAATGTTAAGGATGGGAGTCCATATTCCTGACCAGTGAGTACTTAATTCTTAATTCTGCTACAGTAAAACGTGTATATTCTGAACCCTAAAATGACTTTAATTTGACCAATAGGCATGGTCACATACCAGTATATTGGCAGAGTGCAATTCTTGACAGCTGTTCTCTGCATTTGTTACAGTGTTCATCACAGGGGATATAAATCCTTATGGGATAACTTCAGTTAATCAACCTTTTTAGCCAATGTACAATCTATTCATGTTATCCATACTCTTGATGAACTCAATAATTTTAGTATTACATGTATCTCATTACATCAGCTGTATATTTGGGTTATTGTTGGTTTTACCTATACATATGACTTGACAGAGATGCAGCCTGGGAGACTGAGCCAAATGCCTTCACTGATCTGTTGGAGAGGTACCTTCATTGTGATGCATACAGATGTCACTGTGACAAAGGGAGGGACTACAACAAAGATGGAGGGTAAGTTGGTGTGTAACACTGAGGAAATTATTACACATGTATTATTGCATGTACAAGAAAATTGAATGGGTAGAAAACACATTTTTAGACAAGGGTTGCAATCCTATGATAAATAGAATGAGAAATCCAAAATTCCTTCAGTTGGATATTAGGCTTTAGCCTTATGTTTATGTTATTACCAACATATATACATCCAGTATTTAGATAATTGTAAATACACTGTAGGGTAGAGTGGGGTAATTTCGACCACTTTTGCTGATTTGTGGCTTTCAATCCACAAAACAAGACTGTTTTCAAATGTACTAGTTTAAAAAAGATTCAAAGTAATTGAGATTGATTTTTTCTTCATATTTTTCTGCTTTAGGAGTTAAAAATGCATAAAAAATAATGAATTGGTTAAAAAATAAGTAATCATGTTGCTTGGGTTAATTTCGACCGGACTCGGGGTAATTTCGACCACAACAAACATCAAAAAGAAAGATAACTCTTGCAATGCAAGTTAACTGTACCTGTCGCATTTTATTCAAAATTTATGGTCCGAGAAACTATATTGCCTTATTTAGAAAATACGTGTATCTATCTCTATCAATAAATAGATTAAAATGGATAAGTACTAGTATCCATACAGTAAAGAAATGGGTTGGGTTACTTAAGCTTTTCAATGCTGTCTTATGGACATCTAAATTCTTATTCTTTATTCAAAATTCTGCTTTTAATTTGCGAACTCTATATTTTAAAATTGTGATATATATATAGTTATGCAAATAGATAAAATCTTCTCAGATTGCACAAATAATTTCTTTGGTATGATTTTTAATATGTCCAACCCAAAAGAGATTTTATTTGATATCGTCTTTTCACAACAGAATCATTCAGATTGTATATATATATGCATAAGCAGGGGTCGAAATTAACGGGAAATACTTGCTAAATGCGAATTAAAAACAGAAATTGCGAGTGAAAAGCGACCCGTAGTCGCCAACTTTTGCAAGTAAAAAAACCTGGACTTTTTCGGATTTTTTTCCCAATTTATTCCAAGGATGTGCAATAAGCATTGCCTCACACCCAGGGCTACCATTTTTGGGGGGTCTGGATAGTGATTTTATGCACAGAGGAAGCCCCTTGGGCTAGTAAAAATTAAAATTACCCATGTACTACATAAAAAGCACCACAGGTATTTTTATTCATTTTTTTGCTCTTAAATTTCCAAAAAGATTTTCGCTTCAGTTTAAACTGTTAAATGAGCTAGTGCAATGACCAGAAAAAAGAAGATGATTTATTTTTAAATTCGTTTTTTTTTTTTATTATTTTCAGTCATAATTATTGATTAAGATTTATATACGATTCAATTCTTCTAATGAGAACTAAGCTTTAATTTTATAAAGAATTACCTTAAGATCCTGACTTTTTCTACAACAAACTATTTTTCATTGTTAGTTGTTACTTTTTCCCCCTATGTTTGAGCTAGTAATATTTTTTACTTGGGGCTAATGATTTTATTGCTTCACCCCTGTATCCATTTAGATTTCATCTTGTATAAAATGACCTAAATTAACCCACAAGGTGTAAATTAGTTTTCTATTAAATTATTCAAATAGTTAACTCCTATGTTAAAATTACTATGTGAAGAAAAAATGCTAGTGAAAGTTCAATATTGCTAGTAAAAATAAATTCCACTAGCTAAAATTTGCTAGTGGTCAAAAAAGTTAATTTCAATCCCTGATAAGGTTTGAGCATAGCATTAGAATTGGGTATATTTTTCTTTACTAATTTTTACCATTTACACATTCATTTGGAATGCGTTGTATTACGTATTTTACGTGTTTTTTAATTCTTAAAAGAGATAGGTCCTGAAAAATTCGATCAAGACAATTAAATAAAGATTTACAAAAGCAAAGTTCTCTGAAATCCCCCCCCCCCCCCCCCCCGAAAAAAAACAAACTCATACAAATCATTAATAACGTGAAACATCATAGTGTTGTTGTTTTTTTTTTGTTTTGTTTTTGGTTTCAAGATTGTTGTGGTTCTATTGGTGTGTTGTTCTGATATTTTGGGTACTATTTGGATTTGTGTACCTGGACTGTGTGATACGATCTTAATACGACCGGTTCGTTGGTTATCTATAGCCTCAGTCTTATCCATCAAAGTTTAGGCATTCGTAATAATGAAAAAAAATTACAAAAACCTGATTTTTTTTTACATACATTTAATATTGCCTGCATTCTCTCTTTTGTTAATTTGACGAGTTTGGAAACTTGGATTGCTCTCGTCATGTGTTATTTCATAGCCAGTGCCGACTCCATGTTCTCTCGCACGTCGATCAGTGATGCACCCTTGTGAACGGCCTGGAAAATATAATTATATAGCTAGGCATGTATATGTTAATTAATCTGGCATATTTTTTTTAAATAAAAGGTAATATGTAGATAATATTTTACAAATACAGTATAATCATTTTTTTGGAAGATCTAACTCTGCATTGCATTAAACAGCTGTTAAAGACAACTTACACATATTTCAGAAAAAGTGGTCGAATTTCCCCGTGTCCTTAAAATCAGAGGTAATTTCGACCAAAATCAAATGGACGTTTCTTGTGCATTTTGAGAGAAATCCAAGATAAATTGGTAAAATTCTGCAACTTAAAGATATTCCAAGAAAAAATAAAACAATTTTAATTTAATTCGTGCTGTAGACTGTTGAACAAGGTTAAACTTAAAAAGAGGTTGCACGAGTTGTCTCTCTTGCATTTCCTTGATCAAATCAAGCGCACTGAAGACGGGGACTTCAGGCGTCAAACTGGAGACATAAATAATAGTAAAAATATTTTTTATATCACTGATCAAGCCATATTTGCGATGAATAATTACACTAGGACACACAATTTGAAGAACAGTTTTCTATAATTCTGAATAAATTAAACTTGTCTCAACACTTCCGTAGATCTTTGTGTAGTGTTGCTTTCCTGTGGTCGAAATTAAACGGTGGTCGAAATTACCCTGACTTACCCTAAATTGTACATCCTTTTGTTTTTTATCAGGACATTTTTATATTTTGATTTCTTAGGAAGTGGGAGATCTTGGTTTGTGACTGGTGTGGATCCACAGGTTCTCATGTCGGGTGTCACAATATCATAAAAGTAGGCCCTGATGACTACATGTGTCCAGACTGCTATGAGATAGAGGAAAAATGTAAGTTTGTGTATGTTAGGTACAGAAGTGTCTTGTTAATTTGTGTTGGATCATTCTGTGTCTCTCTTTGAAATCTTTTTGTAATACGATAGAAACAGTTTCAAAAAATACTTGTAAAGAAGATTGGAGGATGTATTTTTGACATCCCTGTTTTAAAGTGTGTAAAAAAAAAAAAAAAAAAAAAAAAAAAAAAAGTTTCTTTATTAAATGTTTATATGTGTTTTTTTTTTTTTTTTTTTTTTTTTTTTTTTTTTTTTTTTTTTTTTTTTAATATGTGTGTAAAATAATTTCATACCTTGAAATGAAAGGTGAAATTGAGTTACAGGTGTGTATCTTTAAAATTTATTGATGCCATCTTGATGAATTTTCATCACTGATTTTACAGGGAATAACTGTCGTGGAATAAAGATCAAGAGGAAATGCAAGAAGAAGATTCCTTCTCCTAGAGCAAACAAGCGACAGGAAGACCCCTGCTTAGAGAACAAAGGCAAGAGTGAATACCAGCAACAAGGCAGTGGCTACAGAAAACTGACCACCCCTTCGGCCTTATCAGATATGATGTCAGGTGATGAATTCTCTGGCCCAGAAGCCATGGATGGAATGTTGAGCCCTGGAAGTTGTAATAAGTCAGCAGGGAACACAGGTCCATTAGAGTCTCCTGACAAACATGAGAGTATCATCTCTCCAATATCGCTATCCAAATGTAGTGGGAAGAAAAGATTTATCAACAAAGAATTGCAGTTTAATACACAGCAGAAAAGTTCAAATGTCACATCTACCATGGTCACCAAGAAACAGACTGCCAGTAAAACTGTTGAATCTGAGGATGAAGAGATTGATGTGGAGGGTTTGGAAGACAGGGTTGAACCTCAGAGGAAGAAGTCTTTTCCTCAAGCCTTTTCCCCACCCCAAATGAAAGGATATGCTTACGTTGAAGACACACAAGGACAGACGAGGGAAGGGAGGAGGATGAAGAGGAAAAAGAAACAACATGACAGTATTCGCAAACTTCTGAAGTTAGACATCGATATGACTTGGACAGATGTTGATAGTTCAGACTCAGATTCTGACTTTAGACCGAAAAAGCTGAGGAGAAGAAATTCAGTTAAGTACACCTATGACAGCAGTCCTAGTGTCGATCTGGAAACAAAAAAAAGAAAAAGGCATAGGGCCTCCGCAACAGTGACAAGCAGTTCTCAGTTACAGCAAACAAGCAGTATGTCTGAAAACTTGGTCGAAATGGATTTTGTTACTGTTGCTGAGACTAATGAAACTAAGAATACAACATGTCCTCCTGAAAATCACCTGGTGGTTACCTCTCTTGACAACCTCAGCAGTACAGATGAAAGTGCTAATAAGGACCTTACACGTAAGGAAACCCAAAAACCAAAGATTTCTTTAAATCAAGATCTAGATGTTTGTTTCGATGAAAAATTGCTCTCTGATAATGCTCCTAGGAAAAGCAGTGATTCTTGTAACGACAGATCTGTAACATCTTTATTAGATGGAAAACTAACATTGAAAAGATCTTCATGTGAAAAATCTAAGAGTACAAAAAACAGGAAAGCTTCAAAAGGTAAAAAGAGGTACAAAATGAATCCCAATCAAATGCTTATCAAACAGTGGTTGGAAAATAGCAATGGTGAGAAAAAAGTGGAAGAGAAAGTGGAATTACCTCCTGCAGTAGACAGCACCAAATGTGAAGAGAAACCACGAAAAACAACACTAAAAATCAGATTTAAAGGCAAAACCTTCTTGTTCAATAGACGCATTAGAAAAAGCACATCATTCAAAGAAAACTTACAAGCAGGAGAGAAGGAATCTGTCGGTTATAGTAAGCAGTTTTCACCCAGGGTGGAGAGTCATCAAGGGAAACAACTCAAAGAATGTAGGAATTTTGGATCAAATTCATGGAAATCTATAGATCCACTCTCAAGCCCACCAGAAGGAATAGCAGATTCCACAGATCTTTGGAGGGAAGCCAAAAGAATGGTATTTACAGAAAGAAAGAAGAATTTTATGGAGCAAAGACACCTGTGCTCACCTAGGACATTTCCAAAGAAGAAAAGATCCAGAGCAATTGAGTCCTTAGTACGGCTTCCAGATGACACTATCAACAGTTATGATGAGGAGCGCATTTATTGCACTGTTTCTAATTTGAATGTCAAGTGTTCCTTGGCCAAGAAATTTGATTTTTCAGAGAGAACTCCTTCTGAAAGTGAGTCCACTTCTACAGACATGTCAACTCTGACTTTCATTGATACCAACAGCTTTCTAAGTGAAAGTTCAATGCCGAAATTATCCCCAGTGGAAATGGATGATAGCGTAATTATCATGAGGGACAAAAATAGAAATGATCCCCAGGTGTCACCTGTGGGAGATACTCACCACTGCATGTTAGTCAATCTCAAACCCAACAGACTAGACATTCATAAGAGAGCAGGGAGTATGTCTCCTAACTCAACAAATCACAGCGAGACGAGTCTGTCAGATGATGATGGAGGTCACATGATCAGTTCCTTCCCTCAGAGAATTGCCACTACTAGAAGCATGTCTGCAATGGATGCCCAGTGTTAAAAAACAAAGGAGAAATTCAGAGGAACAATTTTGTTGATGAAGAAGCCAGGTTGAACTTTTTGCATCTCTCTTGTTTATTTCTATTACCAGTCAATGAAATGGGGGTGACATTTAGGTTACCATTTTATATTTGTAGAATTTTGTATAGAAGAAACATATATCTGATGTTACTATATGAGGAGTGATGATATTTTTTGCCTTCAGAAGTAGATTCTCAGATTTAAAACAACTGCGTACTATGTATGCCAGAAAGTGTTCAGGAAAGTTTGTGTTCATGTGTGATTTATAAACAGTTTAGTATGAATTGAGGTTTTTGCTTCAAATGCAATGAATTTTATATGGTTCTCTAATCCCATAGGTAGTTTCTGTGGTTTAACTTTGGGCTCATCAAGGCTTAATCAAAACATTATCCATTTATTATATAAAGCTTGATTTAAATGAAGTTAAGTTATGAAATATCAGCATGATAAAATCTTTAATAAAAGCAGTTTTAAATATTCATTATGATTTGCAAAATGCCATTAAATTTTTACATCATGCTTTGTCTTAATATTTTAATATTTTATTGGCTTTTGGCCCCGTTTTACAACAGAATTTATGATTAAGACCAAAATGTTATTTTCCAAATAAGATTAGCAACATGTGAAAATGGTTTTGATCTTTTAAAAGAATTTAGGAAGATATTTTTATGCAAGCAATTTATAACAGAAATCAAGGATTTTGCAAGATTTCACAATCAACTTAAGTATTTGGTCTTGGTCCTAAGTTCTTTTGTAAAACAGGCCCCTGGTGCATAGGGAGGATTTACCCGACCCCTACCCCCCCCCCCCCCCCTTCAAGTTATTGTTTGCTACAGAGTTGCAGGGGAATATAGCACATGTATCTGGCTAATTTGTGAGTCTATTTCTGCCTGCATTTACAAAAAACTTGTCAGCAGACAAGGAAGAAAATTATTTTTGACTTCTCACATTTTTCTTTGCTTGTAATATGATTCGAAGGCCAGAGGAGGAAGGCTTTTGATTACGATTTCACAAGTTCAAGGTCAGAGATGGTAATGTAAGATGCTACAAATGGAATTAAGGAATGGCAGTTCATTTTCAGTGGTGGAAACCAATTGATTGTAAGGTCAAAGAATGTAATGGATTTTGAGAATATTGTGGACCTGAGTGCTGTTTTACTTGTTAAAGAGGGAGGAAAATGTATGAATTTTAGAATTAACTAGAAATACTATGTACGTCCAATAGACAAGAATGTACATAGACAGAGTGTACATTTGTATTGTAAAATGAAAAGATGTACCTTTGCTTCTTTGGTCTCAGCTAATGGTAAAAATATGATGATAGAAGGAACAATTTTCATTTTGTGTACAGAACATAACTTGTGTATAGTTGTTATCTTTTGTAACATAGTATTGATCATCCTATCTAATGTCTAATGAAGACTCGTTTTATTTTCTCGTAAAGCAATTTTTTATGAGCTCTTATATATGTCGGTAAGACTGAAATGCCCTCGGAAAATAAAGACACAGTTGAATCGCTCTCTCACCAATTTTATCAGTATATTTTAAAAAGTTTGGTGAAAATAACTTGAGCACAGTTTATTTTAAACCAAGAACACTGCAAAATTATAGAAAAAGATATCAAGGTCATCAGGAGGCCAAGGTTAGAAAATAATGACACTGTTGGATAATTCTCACCAATATGTACCTTTGTATGAAGTTTAATGAAAATCTCTTCAATAATAAAGAAAAAGGTCATAGAAAGGTCAAGGTCATAATGAAGGTCAAGGTAAGAAAATCATGATACAATTGAACTGCTTTTGTTGAATTGTATTTTTGTGTAAAGTTTGATTAATATATCTTGAAAAGAGAGGTCATAGGGAAGTTTAAGGTCACCACATTCATGTTCCAGATGCTGTATCTGACCTATATTTTATGCTAGTGGTCCTTTTGGTCTGTTCCAGTGGTATTATCGATATGGACTTGTGGATGTTTGGTCTAGTGCATGCTTTGTAACATATGCTGCACCTTCTCTTGATGCCTTTGAATGCACCAAGACATAGCAAATCTATGTAATGTTATGCTTTATATGCAAGAGTGGAAGGCTACATTCACTTTGAGATTATTTTACATCAAATGACAATTTGTAGTTTATCACAAGAGTTTCCTGTACAATGAATTTTTGAATGTGTTTTGTATTTGCATACATTGAATGCTACCGTATCAGTATTTTGACACATCAATAAGCCTTCCGAGCTGATCACAAATTTATAATATTATACTTTTTTGTAAATTAGTTGAATCTGGTTTGTCGAGAAACATTTGTTAAAAAATGCTATTAATCGCTGTAACGCCCTTCAACGTAGCAACAGTCAACATTGCTTGACGACGGGTGATGTTCCAAAAAAAATATTGACTGCGCAGAATTTATGCGCGCAAGGTTCAATGTTATATGTATTTGTATAAAACTTTCAGTATAAAATAATAAATATTGCATGTAGTTGAGTGTAACATTGAAAAATTTCACCCGTCGAAAACCATCGTCAACCTCGGCTGCGTCTCGGTTGACAATGGTATTCTTGGGGTGAAAATTTTCAATGTTACACTCATCAACTACATGCAAATTTTATATACTGGTACATCAGATATGGTTCATTTATAAGATGTTTCTGTCTCTAGGTAGTATTTCAAATATACCCTCCTTTGAATGTAACCCCTCAGTCCCGATGGGAAAACACTTGTTGTATAGTGTTATGGTTACTAGTTGAATTACGGGTAAAATGGACCTCTCCTATGATAAAGAAATATTTGCAACAGAGTGTGTACATGGTCTATTTTTGCTATAACATATAATTATGACAAAGATTTTATATCAAACCAGCCTTATTTTTGCATTCTACCCCTATTTATCCTATTATATCTCTACTCAAATTCAATACAAAAACACGAAGAAAAAAATGGAATTCCTTCCGAAATATTATTTTCTCTAAATTTACCATGTAACAAATTAATTTGAATTCAGAAACAATTAAACACAAGAACATATGATAAAATCCCACTTTCCCCCGATTTTGATATCCTATGACTAGCTGTGGATACTCATATTGACAAAGTACGGACATTCATCAAATGTCTTTTGAGGGAGGATATGAATAAACCTTTCTTCTGTATAAATATTTATCTTGTATCTAGATGTCGGAGAACATGTATTAATTTAAGTGCCTCCCATTCAACAAACGGAGTCATTCAAAAATTTTTACACAATTAAGAATGGAAACCTTCCCCCCGCAGTTCTGATTTAATTTGAATATGATGATATATTTGATTAAAAGTCGCGAATGAGTACTGGTTTCTTAATAGAATTTATGAATTGACTTTGTACATTTACAAAGCATGGATATAAAAATCGTACTTTATTCGCAGCTGATAAATTAGTCGTACAAAACTTATATTGTCCAATTTTTATTTTTAAAAAATTCCACGATTGAATTCCAACACGGTGGCGACAAAAGGGTAAATCACCAGCGTGTTATTACAAAAATACATTATGGTATAACGACAATGGAGAATAATAACTGTCTGATGATGCACAGACACAGGCAGTTGAGTACCTCTTGAACCTGCTTTTCAGGTGTAAGATATAAACGTCTTAGTTAAACGTCTTGCTTTAAAATTGTTGTATTAAAATTATTGTCTTATCCAACAAGGTAAGGGCCTCATGAGATTGTGAAAATCAATCAGATCACTGATTCCGAACAGCGATGAATTTAATATGAAACCCCAAACAGTGCGGCTTAATAGGTAAATAAAATCTCTCTCTCAGCGGCGTTTCATCCGCTTCAGTGTTCCTGCTTTGTCGCCTTATTGACCATTCTTGAACAGAAATGTTTTTTTTTTCTATTCCTTGAAATGTATGACAAAGTCGCTTTGACTAGATATATGCAAGTGGTCATTCAAACAAGTTTTGCAACATGCAAGGCTTTTAAGGTACTTGCAAATGAAACGGAGCGTTCCAAAAGTATTAAATATAGAAATGGTCTTACAACCATTTATACCATTTTGACTACGACACCCCTCCCCTTCATGGAAATTCAAATAATGCAAGAAATGAAATGATGACTAAATCTAGTTTTGAAAGACATTATTTCACCACACAAAATAATAATGCGCAAGGAATAAACTACAGCTTTTAAAACATCGAAGCTGGGTATTCCATACTAGTAACTTAAACTGCAGTTTCTTTCCCTCCGACCGATTACATTGCCTTTTACCAGTATCCAGTGAAAATAAATGCAACCTTCGAAAACATCCAATTTTATGCTTTCCTTAGGTAATATTAATTATATATATATATATATATATATATATATATATATATATATATATATATATATATATATATATATATATATATATATATATATATATATATAAATTATTAATCCACAAATTGTCTATAACTGGACTGTGATTATGTACTTTCAACTGTCTAGTTTTCAAATAAATATTATCATTATTATATTATTCATAAACTGACTGACGTAAAAAGTACATGTACTTTTAATAAGAACATATAAAATATCTAACGCATTCTCATGTACCGTTGAGTGGCACACCTTCATATAAATTTCCTTCTGTGTTGGAGATCAATTGAATTCTGTTACTTTATTTATTTTGTACGAGGTTGTAGGAGGACATGCTTATAACTAAATTAACAAGACCGGTTATTCAAATTTTCTTTAAATAAAAACACGTGTAATTATGAATGGAAATGTTTTATGCTAATCTAAACGTAAGAAAAGAATTTCAATAACGTCATGCAACGCTATTCAAATTTGGTTTATGTTGTTAAGCTCTAATTTTTAACATGGGTCCAAAAAACGAAAATATACGCCTTAGATTTGAATAGACATGAAAAGAGTGTGATTCAGAGTTGATCATCTCCATACTGGAACCATAGGGACTTGAAATTCAGGTCCAAGTCACGTGACAGGTCTCACCTGAACATTCCAATCTCCTCACAACAGCCTTTCCATCACATTACTGCCAACGGCGCGAGAATTTTCTCATATCGACAAAATCAATCCTAAACCTGTTCATTACTTCATTTGTTGGCTAGGTATCTCCGTTAGTGCATTGATATTTGTTCTTATTTAATTAATTAATTGGATTTTTGGCATGGGGAAACTTTTTGGAGCGGCCAGTTTGCCCATGATGGCTTGTATTGCCCTCTTGATCGGGGCAATATTTCAGATTCTGGGCTTCGCCGCGCCCTACTGGGCGTTTGATGGGACGTATGATGTTGGCCTGTGGAGACTAGCCCGATGTCAATTTAGTTACCATGTACATTGCTACAGACAGGACCACGTGGAATATTTTACTTCAGGTACTCGTTGAATTTGGTTTGACTATTATTTTTATTGCCATTTTCTTAATTAATGCTCCACATTGAAGATATTTGTCACTTTTCCAGTCCCTCAATGTGGTAATTCAGCTATTCTTTTTATGACTAATTATGTTTCTGAATAATTAACATATATAAATTTATTCTTGTACCTGTTTGTCACTGTTATTGAAAGTCTCAATGTAATTCTATACATGTTTACTGAAAAACAAAAATTGACGGCAACTAATCAGAGGGGAAAAAAATAGATTTTCCCTTTGAATATACTAGCATGCATGTGGATGCCGTCTTTAAAATTCCTTGACGATAGAAGGCTTTGCATGTCGATGACTCTATTTAAATTAATAATAAAAAAAAAGCTCTTTAGCTTATACATAACCTTTCATCAACGTACATATAGACTTCTATACAAGTGTCAATGCAGACATCAAAAGAGCTAATCGATACTTTATAATTCTGAACAGATACAGCGAGATTATATATTTTTAGGAGTTATCAGTAACGTAAAATTTATCAATGTCCTGTGTTTTTACCGAGAAGTCAGATTTTTTTATCACAGATTTCGCACGGCGATAAGTTTGTAACCCAGAACAGCCCACAAAGAATAAGGGGTACTGTCCACTCAAGTCATTATGTCAATTTCAAGCTACGCGACTTTTAAAAATATCGTGATGACAATCAGCTCAGATTTTTTCGTTAGAAATTCGAAGGTATTTGGCCGTCAAATTAGTGGACAGATATTCATCAGTTCCCTCGGAGGTGACAATAAGTGGACTGCTAAGTACTTACCACCAAGAGAAAAGGGTCCATTTGTCAATTAAAGAATGAACAAGGGCCTCAGAGAAAACTTCACTCAGGAACATCAGAACTTGTATATAAAGATGCTTTGCTAATATATTGTCGTTGAACAAGTATTTCTGAATAAAATGCAGTTATAAATGAACAAATTTTCAGCAGTGAAATACTCTGATCTTTCCGGGGAATAAAATTAATATTTTGTATTATTTTCACAGTTGTTACATATTTTTCATACCGTTAAAATAACAAAATTGTTATTTTCACAATGTGATATAACTCTACCCCCCCCCCTTATTATTGTTTAATCAGTTCTTTCATATTCTATCAGTACAGTTAACACTATAAGTTTAAATTTAACAAGTTATTTATTATTCAAAATTATTGAGTGTCTTCTGAATAATTCTTATGGACCTAGCTATATCCACCGCGCAATTGTTTTGAATTTCAGTATTAAAGAAAAAAATAATAATAGGAGCAAAAAGAAAACTAAAGAAAATGTGATAAACAGATATTTCAAGGTTTTGTCGTTGAAAATGGTATTTTATTTCATTCTTAAAACATTTTTTTTCACTCGTGCTTTGCAGTCATAAAAAATATCAAAAACCCTGTCCCACTCGTGAAATACATATTGTACATTCAATATATTGAATATGCTCAAGGGAATATTATCACTGGTTCAGTTAGATGTATAAGTAGTATAAGCAGAGGGAAGGACGTTACTGTCCCACTTATTATACACGACAATATGCAAATGCTAATTGAATTGTATGGATATGTTCATGACTTCCCCACCCTTTTTATGCAAAATAGGCAGGTATGAATTCGGAGGAAAAACCACCATTGGCGGTGGGGAAAGAGATATTGCGATCATGCATATATTTTCTTTTGAAAGTCATATGTTATTCGTGTCTTTTAGTGTAGAAGCAATATTTTTTATGTCTAATATTTTTTATGTCGTCAATTATAAAACTTGTGATGGGAAATTCAAAACGTAAAGGAAATTATATAGGCTATGTTTACGTAATGTGTCCAAGAAATCTAGGCTGTTGGAGTTCACTTTGAACCGAAGCTTCGACCTATGTTCATTATTGACATCAAATATTAATCTTTCTCTGCGTAAAGGCGACGAATTTTAAAGATTTTGTTCTAGTAGTCTTTGATGGTTTTTATGTGAAAGAGGCACCCCTGTCACATGATATAAAAAGTTTAAGGTTTAAATTGAGTCAAATTTGAACTCGATGAATGAAATCTTCAACATTCTCAAATGAGAAGAGTGTAGATTTTACTTAAGTTATCATAGAGTGTTTTTATCATTATTATTATTTTAAAAAAACCTACAAAAAATTAGACTAGTTATATGTTTATAATGAACGTGAAAGCATGTAAATTCTCAAATGTCACAAATAGTGAAAGTTATATATGGAGTATCTGAGCTAACAAATAAAAATACGTGATTGAGTGTAGATGAACATGATATTTGTTATTTACGTTCAAATTAGAATTTTTACCGATTTTGAACTTGAATAATTCCACCTTTCTATAATTAAATTGACTGTAAACTGTGTCTAATATTTTTAAAATGCGGAGTCGGTAAATAAATCGGTTATTGTTTTAAATTTCTAATATCTATGAAACGCGATTGATTTAAATTGTGTAATTTACCGGAAATTCCCATCTTTATATAAAGTAATAAAACAAATACAAAGATCTTTTTTAAGCCGTATATGACTTTAAGTAATATTTTGTGTTACTTTATTTTCGTCCAAAATATAAGAAATAAATATATCAAGGTACGTTTTTACAATTTTTTGTACGCATATATATTATGGATCTGGAAAACTGGAATGTGTGTGATATCAGTACATTTGTTGAAGGGTTCAAATAATTGAATATAGGAAATATAAATGATATATATTGTTGAGGTTTTAAATGCACATATTTCTTACATTCTAGCAAATCAAAATAAGCAAAGCAATATAAGGAATTCATTCCATCTTGGGAGATCGATCAATGTTATCCTGGAAATCATCAAATTTATACTATGACTGATCTGGTCCATTCAAACTTCATGTGAAAAAAAAATGACTTACGATAAACCCATTTCACTGTAGTGTTTCTTTTGTTTTCTTTCTTTTTTTTTTAAAAAATATTAAAATGAATTAAGTGTAACGCACAGGTGTATATTATACATGTAAACACACATCCTACTGGGGTAAAAATTATTCCACGGTATTGCTTTCGCTCACGTCCTCCTAAAATTCTTGATTGTTTCGCACTAAAGCCTGCTAATAAACAGAAAGGTAATGCAAGAGTAACAAAGATGTATGCGCCATTAAATTTTAAATACCTTAACAGGTATTTATACCTAGACAGGTAATTATAATAGGTTGCACCCTGTAAATGCATGAAATACTAATTTCTTTCAGGCCTGCTCACTCGATAATTTTATGTAAAAAAAAATGAAAGTTATCAAGTGCAATGTGGTAACATCAGGCCCGTAGGAAGCAATTTCGGTTGGGGGGGGGGGGGGGCACAGCCAAACATTTTAAGTGAGGGGAGGGGCACTATCAACTACCAAAATTCCTTGACAAGTCTTAAAAAACAAGGTCATCAGCCGTTTTTATTGAGGGGGCACAAGCATATAATAATAGCTAAGTTTTCTATAGTATTCTATATATTGGCAAAATTATTGCCCCCCCCCCCCCGGTTCCTACGTCCATGAACATCATGTTCTCTATAAAACATCTCATCCCTAATTTGATATAATTTAATCAATTGTTTGAATTAGATGAAAAGAGTGGTATGAGAGTGCAATTGTTATTTAGAACATTCTTAATATAATGAAAAATTCATCTATCTACTAAATTTTCGTTAGTGTAATTTAGTGTGAATTAATCGTTACCTTTGAACAGACCTTGGATATTTTTAATTTTATGTATTAAACAAGTCATTTTTTTTCAATTTTGACTATTAAAAGATCTAAGAGTTATGGGACTTCATGGTGGATAATTCAAATGTACAAGGAGAAGGGACACTACTCTGACCTCAAGATTAAGTTTTATCTCTATTTTGTAGATTGGCTCAAAGTAGTACGAGCATTTGAAAGTCTTGGAATTATATTTATGGTGCTGCCACTCATAATAATTCCTGTGTATATGTATGTTTCCCTGGGCCTTTATTATAAGTTCATGATGATGTGCACATGTGTGTCTTCACTTGCATCAGGTAAGGTTCCCTATGTCCTTCATATGACTTACAATATAATGAAATATCTGGACCAAAATCTCTGTAATATTAGAATAAGTGAAAGATTTTAAAAAAGTAATATTAGGGAATTTAAAGAGTGTTAATATGTTAAAGATCATTACTGATGAGGTATGCCCTTACCACACCAAAACTTTAACTTAAAAATCAGTGTTGTTTTAAAAACAGTAAAACAGTCTCATCAAAGAATCACAAAAATCTCCGATGTTTTTTAATTGAGGGTGTGATGTTTATTTCTTTTACAGCTCTGAGTATCATTATTGGTGTGTCTGTCTACTCCGTCAATGTAACACTGAATGACTGGGAAATATCGTGGTGTCTCTATATCTGTATTGTGGCATTTGTTGCCACATTGTTAGCCTTCCTTATTCTTATTGTGGCAGCCTGTAGCAAACGTCCCCCTGAACTCAAACAGATCATGGTGCCTGACCATTCCACACTCCATGTCCATCCAACAAAACCCAGATTTGTTATGATAGCTGATTATTCATATCCTGCATAGACATGTGAATGAGAAGACCAGCACAGAAAAGAAAAACCAAGGAAAGACTAAAATGTAGCCTTACATTGTGTTGTTAAAAATGTGACATCCATTCTAAACCTTGACCAGTGAGTGGTCTTAGAAAAGGAAATGCTTGATGCACACATATTTTCTACAGTAATCCAGTTTAAGAAATTTTCTGCTGGTGAAGAGAGATATGCATTTGTGTTTATAATTACTTGGTTCCAAGTGTGCAAAACTGTAGTTAATAAACTAACTTGTAGAATGTTCTGGTAAACAAATTTATTTAAAAATAATACCCATAACATTTATATTAGTAAATTTGCTTAGGAATATTGTCATGGAAATGACATTTACAACAGGAATACATGTATATATAACACGTGAATAATGCAAACATATGATTTCATTGCTATAACATTTGTTGTACATGTACTGGAGAGTTATTGCACAAATGTCTGACATTAGCGTTAGCCTAAAAAAGATCCATCAGTCCTGATTGAGTCATAATGGTCCCAATTCATATGTCCTCTGGCTGTTTCAGAAGGGTCATGGGTATGCTACTGCTTAACACATCACCATTACTGTTCCATATCTTGTACTCAGCTGATAAATATTCATGAACTGAAATAAAAATTTTCATGAACTAATTTGCATATACAATGTATATGACAGATACACCGGGAAAAAAAGATCAATTGAATTTAAAATGTACAAATTACATTTTTGAACCATGTATTGAAAGTTATACTTGGAAAAATGAGATTATAGATTATCTAAATAATGTTAGTAAAACTTGTGACAGTAAATTATTACTATAATTGTGTTATAATTTATACCTGTGTTAAGTTTGAACTTGGTGCTTGGAGAGACTTGTATTGACTTGGAGTCTATGCAACGCCCAGACTGGGTGAAGTCAGAAATCTTGAAGAACAGCTGTTGAGAACCATATTAAAATGTGGATTTAATTTTTTTCCATATGTATATCAGTTTTCAATAAGGTATACCTATTATTTTCACCATTGATATTGCTTTATTTCAACAAAATATTGTTTACATGTTCAAATGTTTACAGTTAGAAATATTTATGTAGAAAATAATATATGCTATTATACACTGTACCATAAAATTATAATTTTAACAGTTTGTGCACAGGCATTTTGACCTATAGTTAGCTTAATGTACCTCACATATTTCACAATCTTCATATAAGATAGAAGTATGATTTTAATACATCTCTGCATACTAAGGAAATTCCACCCTCCTGTGATGTCACAGGTTTGAGCAAAAATTGTTATTAATATAAATTCATACCAAATAGAAAAATTTCTTTCAAAAGAATGTTCTTCAATGAAAAATATTGTAAAGTAAAAGAGTCAAAAAATTGAATATTTTCCTTATTTAATCCTTAAAAAATGTTGCTAAGGGCAGTAACTCCTGCTGATGTATCTTCATTCAAGCATTTTCTATATTGTACTTCTAATGTAAAATGGTTTCCCTGATTTTCACAATTCAAACATATTTATTAAGTAACAATTATTTTGGAACTTTCAGCATCAGAACTATGCATTTGAACCAGTTTTTACATAATTTTTATAATACTGTTTACCAAAATGTACGATTTTCTTATGCTGACATATACTTCTTGTTTATGTATGTCTTACGTACGTCTTAAAAAATATGGCAACCTATACATTTTTGGTGATTATTAATAAATTTAAACTATATTCAGTAAAAATAAATGCAGTTTTTCTATATTTTGAACCCATAAATTAGTGAGGGTGGATATATCTTAAGGCACAACCTAGAGTTATGTTTTATATCATATAAATATAATTTAAGCATACGTGTGCATAGTCATTTTGACCTTGAGTTATGTTATATATAATAGAAGATTAAGTATAATAATTTTAACATACCTGTGCATAAGCATTTTGATCTTTACAGAAAGGATCATCAAAGGAGCTCGCAGATTTGGTTTCTGAGAATATGACTGTTGCTTCCAAGGTTGCTATCAGGGATTTTGAAAATTTCTGACCTATAAGAGAAAATCATTAATGCATTTGCAAATCACATAATACTACTACAAGATTGAATATGAGTATGGTACATTAAATTGTATTAATAAACCTGTTAACTTGATTAACTTCTTTGTATTATAATTTTTAGCAGGTCTTACAAATATGCGTGAAAAATTAAAGTGTAAAGGACTATATTCTGTAGTGGCCAGTATCTGCCCCCAAAATAAAACTTTGATGGAGAAATCTTTAATTATGTTCTAAACCAGGTGGATATTTGCAGACTTCAAAGCATTAAATATTTTTATCAATTATGACATCATTAGTTAGATATGACGTCAATAAAATGACGTAAATTCCAAATTGCAATGATTTTGAGAGAAAATATTGTATTTTACGTCAGTATTTTGATTGGAAATTATCGAGCGCAGGTCTGCTCAGACTAGATCTTTTGATATAATGTGTAGAATGATAATATCAATGAAATATGTGAATATGGTACCTGAGCAAGCTTGCGCTCTATAAATACTATAGTCAAAATTGAACAAACTCTGTGCATTTTGGTCTCTATTTTAAAAATAACGGAATTCCAAATAGTTTGTGACGTCACAGAGACAAGAAAAGCCAACTATTTTTTTCAATTTCATAATATATTGTCTTAATTTGGATTATTTTATACAATATATACACTTTTGCTCATTTCAAGAGATTTTCAAAATTTGACTATTATGGGGGCAGGAATACGCCCTTACCATATGTAGTTCTTTAGTTTTGGATTGTAGTTTATTTGTAGACCAGAATTTATGAGGGGTTATCAGAACGTTCATGGACTGGCACAATAAAATCAAAACTGCTCAAGGTAATAAATCAATTTTTACATTTAATTTATATAACATAATCTTTCCTACATGTATATATCTGCAGAATAAACTACAATACTTACAATTTATTGTCCCAGTGGTATGACCATAAGGCACAAATGTTTATAGAAACTCGCATAGCTTGACTAACAGGTCAGAGAGGGAAAATAAGGCCAAATTACCTAGCTGTTTTTAAATTACAAAAAAAGATTCAGAGAGAGGAGAGACATGTTCAATGTCAATTTGCTTCTGTGTGTCCCAAGTCAGTCATGTCAAAGAGTAACATTGTGGAAATTGAATCCGAAAAGCGAATTAAGCTGCCAAAGCCAGGCGAGGATCTTTATTGTATAAATCTATTTACAATATTGTGCTTTGAAATCAGTTGTTCAGAAAATTTTAGTCATAAATACAAGATGGGTTTCAGTCAACATTTAGGATACCTCATCAAGAAAAGATTAGTGAGGCAGACGGAGCGGACATTGAGAAGCAATGATAACGCTGAATGTGGAAAAAAAATCAACAGCAGAAGCACAAGGTGACCATATTATGTCTTTTTTATTTGAGAATAATTGACAGATTATCAATGTACCAAGCTAAAATTGTTCACACTTCTTAAAATTTTGTTGTTTTATGTTCATGATAAATTTTGTGAGCACAGCATTATAGTATTAATTTTATAGCATCAGTCCACAAACTTTTTGATAATCCCTCATATATATAAGATAAAGAACAACTTGGGGTATCCTTGCATCAGCTTTCTGTTAGTAAAGACAGGTAGATCACTTTGACATTACCTATGTTCCAAACTAGGATTTTTTTATCTGGAGAAACAAGTGTATTTCCTTGGGTGACAGAGGAGTCCTGGTTAGAAATCACGCCCCTATAATTGAAATTTTTATTTCTTTATTTTTACTTCATTCAACCCACATAAATGTATATTACAATATTTATTTGAAACATGACATTATTTTAAAACAAAACCTTTCTTGGCCCCATCAAGTTCCAGAAAACAAGGTTTGAGTTATTGTCAATATACTGTATACCTATTATGAAATGGTATCTGCATCTCACAATATTCAAAAGCATTCTTTATTCTGTCACACAGTGTTAGCTGTACCATCAGTGAGGCTCTGTTATCTGTCATCTAAAGGAGAGTAACACAAAAGGGAGATAAATTGTACAGCTACTGATGATATAATGTTTCCTAGCCCATAATTGATTGAATTATTATAATTCTAAATAATTAGGAATCATATTACATACACATCAGCAGTTATCTTGAAAATATCTGGAAATTGCTTATTTCTTATTGATATTTGTATTAAACAAAAATTGAACTGATTGTAAATACTGTACATGCACATCATGCTCATGAGGCAGTAAACTATTATTTAAAACAAGAGGCCCATGGGCCACATCGCTCACCTGAGCACATTGGCTAGAAAAAAAAGCAAAAATCAGTACAGTATTAAAAAGTTTACAAGGAGGGGGGTGTTGAATTTTAAACTACCTGATGATGCTTTCATATCAATATAACAAATGGCTTTGTTGTTCTTGAGCAGCAGATTTTTTTCCCATATATTCATTTGTAAAAATTTGATCCCCCATTGTGGCCCCACCCTACCCCCGGGGGACCCTCATTTGAACAAATTTCATTCTACACTACCCAAAGATTCCTCCATATCAATTTGACTAATCATGGCTTTTCTGTTCTTGAGAAAAAGACTTTTTCCTATATATTCTTCTGTAAACTTTGATCACCCATTGTGGCCCCAACCTATCCCCGTGGTAATGATTTGAACAAACTTGAATCTTCACTATCTGAGGATGCTTCCATATAAATATGACCAATCACGCCTTTACTGTTCTTAAGAAGAAGATTTTTAAAGATATTTTCCTATATATTTCTATGTAAAACTTTGATCCCCCATTGTGGCCCCACCCTACCCCCGGGGGTCATGATTTGAACAAACTTGAATCTTCACTACCTGAGGATGCTTCCATATAAATATGACCAATCATGGCTTTACTGTTCTTAAGAAGAAGATTTTTAAAGATATTTTCCTATATATTTCTATGTAAAACTTTGATCCCCCATTGTGGCCCCACCCTACCCCCGGAGGTCATGATTTGAAGAAACTTGAATCTACACTACCTGAGGATGCTTCCATAAAAATATGACCAATCATGGCTTTGCTGTTCTTAAGAAGAAGATTTTTAAAGATATTTTCCTATATATTTCTATGTAAAACTTGGTTCCCCCATTGTGGCCCCACCCTATCCCCGGGGGTCATGATTTGAACAAACTTGAATCTACACTACCTGAGGATGCTTCCATATAAATATGACCAATCATGGCTTTGCTGTTCTTAAGAAGAAAATTTTTAAAGATATTTTCCTATATATTTCTATGTAAAAATTGGATCCCCCATTGTGGCCCCACCCTACCCCCGGGGGTCATGATTTGAACAAACTTGAATCTACACTACCTGAGGATGCTTCCACATAAATCTGACCAATCTTGGCTTTACTGTTCTTAAGAAGAAGATTTTTAAAGATATTTTCCTATATATTTCTATGTAAAACTTGGATCCCCCATTGTGGCCCCACCCTACCCCCGGGGGTCATGATTTGAACAAATTTCAATCTAC